ATGATCAATAAATGTTGGGTGCCTTCAATTTTGAGTTTTTAAAATTGTAAAGTCTTGCCCTAGCTGGTTTGGCTCAGTGGATAGAGCATCGGCCCACTGACCGAAGGGTCAGGGGCTCAATTCTGGGTCAAGGGCATGTACCTCAGTTGCAGATTTCCCAGCGCAATAGGGGTGCAGGGGGGAGGCAACCAATTGATGTGGCACATAGATGTTTCTCTCTCTCTCCCCGCCTCCCTCACTTCTACTCTCTCTGGAAATCATTGGGGGAAAAATATCCTCAACTGAGGATTATTATATTGTAAATTCTTAAATTTTAAATGTAAATTCCTGAAGGACCACTGATGTCTCAGGATAGAAGGGTCCAATTGCTATATCGCCTGACAAAATTGGGTCATATCCACTTTACAGAATGTAGATTTTTGTCTCCAGTGGGTGTGAAAAACTTACTCCTGGGATTTAGAGAAGACAGACTCCTCCCCACTAGTAACTCAACAAATCAGCCCCTGATTTCAGAGCCCGGTGGGTACTACTCAGGCGGGGTCTTTACAGGAAATGCTTAGACCGTGGTCCTTTGGCCACTCCCAGCACCAGGACCACAGGGAGGCGTCACCTCCACCTCTGTTGGCCCAACCAAGTTTTAGCCTGCTCCTCCCCCCCACCCACTCCCAGTTCTTCCGCCCCTCGGGGTTCACCCAGCCTTCGGCCTTCTCAACACCCTCTCCATTTGCCCTGTGACACCCTCCCCCCATGTCTGCAATGCAGCTCGTGCACCCAATCCTCCCTTGCACCCCTCCAGGCCCCAGGTCTCTTCTTCCCCACCCCCACACCTTTAGGGTTGCCAGATAAAACACCGGACGCCCAGTTGGATTTGAATTTCAGAAAAATATAATCAATGGCTTTTAAAAGAAGTGTGGCCTATGCAATATATAGGACGTACTTATACTTAAAAAAACGTATTGGTTGTTTATCCGAAATTCAAGTTTAACTGGGCATCTGGTATTTTTATTTGCTAGATCTGGCACCCTACCCCAACCCCAGCGCCCTCTCCCACCTCGCACCCCTCCATGCCCCCAACTCGCCTATTTCCGTTCAGTGTCCGTCTCGCACCAGTGCCCTGGCCGGCGCGCCTCTTCCATGAGCCCCCCACCCTCGAGCCCCTTCCAAATCCGGCGCGTAGTCCTTGCACCCCCTTCTCTGGAACACCCCTCAACTCTCCAAGCATCCCCCTCCATTCTGCCCCCCGAGACTCACGCGCCCTGGTCCATGCCTCGCGCAACTTTCTCCGCGCGAACCTCCAGGCCCAGAACCCTGCGTGTTCGGCATCCTTCTGTCCCCGCCGCACCCCCGAGCCCCGCACCCCCGAACCCCGCTCCGCAACGCGCCGGGCGCACCTGGGCAGGCCCGCGAGTAGTCCGCGCAGCAGTCCCGCGCCGCGCCGCACGCCTGGTCGCAGAAGCAGCGCGGGGGCCCGCGGGCTGCGCAGGTCAGGTCACGGCCGGGGCAGCAGCGGCCCAGCGCCGAGCAGCCCTGCCCCGGCCCCCGTGCGTCAGGCGGCCCTCTCGCCCAGGACACCGCGGCCACTGCGGCCAGGGCGAGTGCCAGGGGCAGGGTCCGATCTGCTTCGCGAGGGGCCATCGCTGAGCGCAGACTGGGGGGCGGACGCCGAGGGGACCGACCGTAGCGTCCCGCCCCGTATTGGGGCGGAGGCTCCCCGCCCGACCCCTCCCCTACCTGTCACGGAACTGATATCCACCGCCATTCCTCCCACCCAAACTCTGCACAGCTAGTGGAGGTGGAATGTCAAGATAATGGTGAGAATCATCGCAACAAATTTGCAGGGTTTCCCCAGGTTCCAGGGAAATTGAGGTGACACAGAGGTTCATCAGAACAATAAATAATAATATAAAACAACAATCTATTGTTATAACAATAATAACAGTAGTAGTCACTATACCACAATTATAATAGCAATAACACCAGTAATAGGTACCAATATTACCTATATTAATAAAAGCATAATATGCTAATTAGACCAATGTCCTTCCAGAGGAAGCCAGGGCTACAAGGGAAGCCCAGGTCCTGGGTGCCAAAGGGAAGCTGGTGCTGGCAGCTGGGGGAAGAAAGGCCTACTCTTGCACGAATTTTGTGCATTGGGCCTCTAGTCTATAATAAGAAAAGCATAATAAGCTAATTAGACCAGACAGCCAAATGACCTTCCAGACGTCCTTCCAGACAAAGCCACAGCAGCGGCTGAGGCAGAGGCAGTTAGGGGGCAATCAGGCAGGCAGGCAGAGGGGTTAGGGGTGATGAGGCAGGTAGGCAAGTGGTTAGGGGCAATCAGGCAGGCAGGCAGGTGAGCGGTTAGGAGACAGTGATCCCAGATTGCAAGAGGGATGTCCGACTGCTGATTTAAGCCCAATCCCACTCTTCCGGATTGGGCCTAACCAGCAGTCGGACATCCCCCAAGGGGTCCTGGATTGCAAGAGGGTGCAGGCCAGACTGAGCCCTGCCCCCCCCGCCCCCACCCCACCCCCCCACCCCCGGCGCACTGGGCCTCTAGTTAAAATAATAATAGCCATAATAATTGCCAGGTAAGGAACCTGGGAGCCAAGCTATGTACCAGGCTCTGGTTGTGGCATAAGTATTAACCAAAGCTGAGTTCCTTTCATATACCTTCATTTTTTGCTGTATTCCTATCACCTTGAATGTCGTTTTCTGAATATTTCTCCTCAAATGAACTAATTTTTTTTAATTCAAAAGGATTTATCTGTTACAAACCTACATCACTCAAGAGAATGAGAAGACAAGCCTCAGACTGGGAAATAGTATTTGCAAAAAACACATCTAATGATGGACTTTTATCCAAATTATACAAAGAACTCTTAAAAATCAACAGGAAAGCTGAAACCGGTTTGGCTCAGTGGATAGAGCGTCGGCCTGCGGACCGAAAGGTCCCAGGTTCGATTCCGGTCAAGGGCAAGTACCTTGGTTGCGGGCGCGTCCCCAGTGGGGAGTGTGCAGGAGGTGGCTGGTCGATATTTCTCTCTCATCGATGTTTCTGGCTCTCTATCTCTCTCCTTTCCTCTCTGTAAAAACTCAATAAAATATATTTTTTAAAAAATCAGCAGGAAAACAAGCACTCCAATTAAACAATGGGTCAAAGGCCTAAACAGACACCTTACCAAAGAAGATACACAAATGGCAAATAAACATAAAAAAAAGATGCTCCACATCATACGTCATCAGGGAAATGCAAAGTAAAATAATGAGATGCCACTACCCGTGTATTAGAACTGCCAAAATCTAGGACACTGACAACAACAAATGCTGGCGAGGAGGTGGAGCAACAGGAACTCATACATTGTTGGTGGGAATGCAAAATGGTGTGGCCACTTTGGAAGGCAGTTTGGCAGTTTCCTACAAACCTAAATACACTCTTACATTACAATCCAGTAATTGTGCTTCTGGGTATTTATCCACATGAGTTGAAAACGTATCTATAATAATAAAAGGGTAATATGCCAATTACCCTTTCTGGACATCCTTCCTGACAAAGCTGGGACTGGAGGGAAGCCAGCCCAGGTCCCGGGTGCCTGGGGGTGGCCGGAGGAGGGAAGCCTGGGTCCCGGGTGCTGGAGGGAAGCAGGTGCCAGCAGCCAGGGGAAGGAAGGCCTACTCTTGCACGAATTTTTGTGCATTGGGCCTCTAGTGTCTATATAAAACCCTGCGCATGATGTTTATAGCAGCTTTGTTCATAATTGCCCAAACTTGAAAGCAACCAAGATGCACCTAAGTGAATGGATAAAATGTGGTGCGTCCAGACAATGGAATATAATTCAGCACTAAAAGAGGAATAACCTATCAAGCCATGAAAACACACGGAAGAATCTTAAATGCATGTTATGAAGTGAAAGAATCTAATCTGCAAAGGCTACACACTGTGCAATTCCAGCTATAAAGCATTCTGGAAAAGGCAAAATCATGGAAGAGTAAAAAGATCAATGGTTTCCAGGGATTAAGGGGGAAGAAGGGATGAAAGTGGAGCACAGATTTTTAGGGCAGTGAAACTATGCTCTGTGATAATATAATGGTGCGTATATGTCATTATACATTGTCCAAACCCATTGAATGTACAACACTAGAGTGAACTTTAATGAAAACTATGGACTTTGAGTGAGAATGTGTCCATGTAGGTTCATCAATTGTTAGAATGTTCCATTCTGGTGGAGGACAGGGGATATATGGGAACTAGGTACTTAATCCTCAGTTTTACTGTGAATCTAAAACTGTTCTAAAAAATGAAGTCTATTTTTAAAAAGGAAGAAAATGTATCACTCTTATAAATGCAAAGCGAATAATATTTTTATAAGTAAAAGAAGAAGGGAGGGAGGGTAGAAAGACAGAGGATCTCTATATTTGATTTATCAATGTTTTAACTACCAAGAAAGAGTAAAGAAGAGAGACAGAAAGGGGGGGGGGAGAGAGAGAGAGAGAGAGAGAGAGAGAGAGAGAGAGAGAGACTGACTCTATTGATGTAAGGGTCAAGTAGGGGCAGACAGCCGCTCCTGACTAGGACATGTCCCTGAGCAGTCCCCATGACAAGGCCCAGCAGCCCCTGTAGGTTCCAGCCTCCTGTAGGTTCCAGCCTCCTTTATCTGCTTTCTCTCTGTTAGTCCAGGTTTGAAGCCTCCAAATAACTGGTGACCCAGTTCCCAGAAAAACCTCCCTTGCTGTCCTTTTGTAAGGGCCCTGGGGGCTGTGGGGCTCTTGGCAGATGCCACAGCCGTGGGCACAAAGAGCTTATTCTCCTCTTAGCAGGGAGAGGGAGGCCCGTCAGAATGCAGAGAGCTGTCCAGCTGAGGTTGGGCACCACTCTCTCCGTGGGTCTGGGCTGCAGGGCACTGTTCTCTGGGTGGGGGCAGAAGGATGCAGGTCAGTCTCCCTTCACTGTTCAGGTCTGTCTCTGATATGTATTGCTGCTTAATAAACCAGCCCAGAACTTAGAGGTTTAAACAACGATTTATTATTATCCCTCATAGTCCTATGGGTTGACTGGGCTCAGCTGGTGGTTCTGGCTTGGGGCTCTCGCATGCAGTTACAGGCAGAAAGCAGCGGAGGCTGATGTCATCTCAAGGCTTCATTGGGCTGGACATCCAAAGTGGCCTCTTCGCTCACCTATCTGCTGCCCCAGCTGAGATGGCTGGAACAGCCAGGGACTAGCTGGCCATCTTTTTCTCTCCAGATAGTCTTTCCACATGGCTAGGTTGGGCTTCCTCACATCATGTCGGTCTCAGAGTAATCAAACATCTTCGGTGGCAGCAGGCTTACCCCAGAGCAGTGTTCCAAAAGTCAAGGTGAAAATTGCAGGGCTTCTTAGGACCTAGCTCAGAAGTCAGACACGTCACTTCTGTTGCTACATTCTATTGGTTACACAGGGCCAGCCCAGACTGAAGGGCTACTCAAGGATATGGTTCTTTGTAAAAAAATATTTTTTTTATTGATTTCAGAGAGGAAGGAAGAGGGAGAGAGAGATAGAAACATCAATGATAAGAGAGAATCCGTGATCAGTTGTCTCCTGCATACCCCCCACTGGAAATTGAGCCCACACCCAGGCTTGTGCGCTTGACCAAAATTGAACCTGGGACCTTCAGTCTGCAGGCCAGTGCTCTATCCACTGAGAGAAACCATCTGGGGCAAGGGTATGGTTCCTGATAGGCCATCTTTGGAGGCCAGCCACACCTTAGTCTCTTTGAGTCTTCCTCAACTTCTGGCTTCAAATTAATGAAGTGCCCCCAAACTCAGACCTGGGTCTCTTCTCCCCCTGAGTGATCTCAGTCAGTCTAAACATCTCTATGCTGACAATTCTCAAATTTACATCTCCAGCTTGGACTTCTCTGAAATCTAGACTCCAATCTCCAACTGCTACTCAATATCTCTCCTTGGATGTCTCACAGAGATCACAGCATTAGCAGCTCTAAAACCCCCTCCCACCCCCTCCTCTCAAGAACTTCACAAAAGGATTTATATGGATAGCTAACAATTGTACATAAAAGGATACTCAATATCATTAGTCACAAGAAAAATACAAGTTAAAATCACAGTGAGATACCACTACACATCCATTAGAGTGCCTACAATTAGAAAGACTGATCACAAGTGTTGGTGAGAATGTGGAGCAACAGGAACCCTCATTCGCTAGTGAGAGGGATACAAAATGTGGCAAACCAGTTGTAACCGGTTTGGCTCAGTGGATAGAGTGTCGGCCTGCAGACTGAAAGGTCCCAGGTTCGATTCCAGTCAAGGGCATGTGCCTTGGTTGCCGGCACATCCCCAGTGGGGGGTTTGCAGGAGGCAGCTGATCGATGTTTCTAACTCTCTATCCCTCTCCCTTCCTCCCTGTAAATAAATAAATATTAATAAAATATATTTTTTTAAAAATGTGGCAAACCAGTTTCTCAAAAAGTTAAACACAGACATGACCCAGCTACTCCACGCCTGGGCATTTACCCAAGAAAAACTAAAACATTCATCCCACAGAGACTCAGACACACAAATTTCCCAACAGCTTCATTTGCAATCACCAGAAACTGGAGACAACCTAAAAAGCTCATCAGTAAGTGAATGGATAAACAAATCGTGGTCCCTCCATACCAAGGGATACTACAAAGTAATAAAAAAGAACAAATTGTTGATGCCTGAGACATCGGTGGATTTCAAAATCATTATATTGAGTCAAAGAAGCCAGCACCCACACCCAAAAAATGAGTACATACTGTCTAATTCCACTTATATACTGGTACATTATAGAAAGTGGAAACTAATTTATAGTGACAGAAATAGGTCAGTGGTGGAAGGGAAGGAAAGAGAGGGAATTCCAAAAGGGCTCAGGGATAGATGATGGATTTGGGGGTGATGGGGATATTCACTATCATAATTGTGGTGAAGGTTTAATGGGTGTATACATATGTCAAAACTAATGTAACTATACACCTTAAATATGTTCCGTATGATGTACTTCAATTATACCTCAATAAAGTTGGAAAAAATGAATCAAAAGAAAAAAATCAAAGAACAACAACAACAAAAAAGACACATGTTTGGAAGAATACACACCAAACTGTTAACAGGGCATGGAAAGCAGGGCAGGATCTATCATCTATTACTGCAGCTTCCTAGTTTAAATTATTTACAAGCATATATTACTTTCGAGCTTAAGAGAAAGCACAATACCTTTTTTTTTGCCCCCCAGCCTCTGCCCAGCCCTCAGGAGCTCTGTCACATGCCCCCAAACAGACCGGGTTGCTCTGCCAAACAAAGACACCTCCTGGATTTGAGCCAAAAATTTCTGGGGCAAATTCCCATCCGGAGACAATGACAACTGTCCTCCTTCAGAACAGGGACTTTATTTACACCTTATGTCTACATCCTAGTCTGGGGCCCACAGTCAGGGAGGGGATGATTGCCCAGGAAGATAATGGACTCATTAATCTCTACCCAAGACTGGACTCCCCTTGCCAACTTCCCATCTGGGTAATTAAACCAGCTGGCAGCCCCATATCAGCCTTCAGGGCATCTGCAGGGCCCAGGGACAGGGCACCTCTGGAAGACACACTTGGCTTCTCCAGAGGGGCCATTTCCTGGGTGACTTTAGGACAAGCAAGCTGAGCCCAGACTGGGGTCTTGATTTGGCTAGACCCAAGACTCAGGCAAACATGGACCTCTTGGCACGTCAGGGAGGGGGTTGGGAAGAGCTGTCTGTCTGAGCTTCTGCATTGTGTGGTCGCCCATGTGTGTGCTCTCATTTTTCCTAACCTCACCCTAAACCTTGGTTCTTGAGTGTCTCAGGAGTTGGCTACCCTGCAGCTCATCCACCTCTCCCCACAGCCTTCTTTCTTCCTTGATAACAGCACCAAGATGTTTCAGGGGAGTGCCACCTCCCGCTGCGCCCAGACGGTAAATTTTTTTGACGCCTGATTCAGTGGAAGGTGGTGCCTGCTCACCTGCTATAGGAGCGTCCATGTGATGAAGCATAAGTAGCTGAAATTGGAGATTTCACTTGAACTTTTTGGTGTGAAGAATTAACTTGGCACCCTAGCCAGTTTGGCTCAGTGGGTAGAGCATCAGCCTGTGGACTGAAGGGTTCCAGGTTCAATTCTGGTCAAGGGTACATGCCTGGGTTGTGGGCTTGACCCCTGTGTGGGGCATGCAAGAGGCAGCCGATCAATGATTCTCTCTCATCATTGATGCTCTCTTCTCCCTCTCCTTCTTCCTTCCTCTCTGAAATCAATAAAAATATATATTTTTTAAAAAGAATTAATTGGCAACATGCAGCTTCTCTTTTAAATTTTATATATTTTTTATATTTATGTATTTATTTACTATTCCCATTCCCCCTACCCCCTCCCCTTTGGCAACAATCAACTCATTCTCTATATCTATGGATCTGTTCCTGTCTTGTTAAGTTTTTTTTTTTTTTTTTAGATTCCACATGTGAGATCATACAGTATTTGCCTTTCTCTGTCTGACTTATTTCACTCAGCATAATGCCCTCTAGGTCCATCCATATTATTGCAAATGGCAAGATTTTGTTCTTTTTTATTGCTGAATAATATTCCACTGTATATGTATACCACATCTTCTTTATCCATTCATCTATTGATGGACATCTAAGTTGCTTACATAACATGACTATTACTAGTAATGCTGTAAGGTAAATCTTGATAGGTAGGGCTTAATCCTCACTACCACGCAGAGCATGGTTTAGCAGCAGCATCCCCAGGGAGCTTGTTGGAAATGCTTGAATCTCAGACCCCACCCAGCTTCTTGAACCAGAATCTTCATTTCAACAAGAGCTCTGGTGATTTGAATACACTCATTCTCAATCCTGGCTGGACACTAGAAGTTCCTGGAGAGTTTTTTCTAATACCAATGCCTGGGATCCTCTGCTGATATTTTGATTCAATTGCTCTGAAATATGATCTGGACAGCAGTATTTTTTTTTTTTTTTTACAGTATAACATATATTTAGTAAAGTGCCCTAACTTTAGATGGATAGCTTGGTATTTTTTACACCTATGTAACCAGCACCCAGATAATAACAGAGACCATTTATAGCACCCCAGAAAGTTCACTCTTGACCCTTCAAAGTAGGGTGTCCAGGAATAAGGGGTTTTTCCAGGACATGGGACCTTCAGTACTAAAACCGAGGTCATCCAACACCCATTTTTGATAAAAACTCTCAGCAAGGTGGGAATAGAAGGATCATTCCTCAACATAATAAAAGCCATATATGACAAACCCACAGCCGACATCATACTCAATGGATAAAAACTAACACCATTTCCCCTAAGAACAGGAACAAGACAGGGATGCCCACTCTCACCACTCCTGTTTGACATAGTACTAAAGGTATTAGCCATTGCAATTAGACAAGAAGAAGAAATAAAAGGCATCAAAATTGGAAAAGAAGTAGTAAAACTGTCCTTATTTGTACATGACATGATATTATATATATAAAAAACCCTAAAGACTCCATCAAAAAAACTATTAGACTTAATAAATGAATTTGGCAATGTAGCAGGATACAAAATTAACACCAAGAAATCTATGGCATTTCTATACACCAATAGTGAACTTACAGAAAGAGAGACTAAAAAAACAATCCCATTTACCATCGCACCAAAAAAATTAAGCTACCTAGGAATAAACTTAACTAAAGAGGTAAAAGACCTCTACTCAGAAAACTAGAGGACGTTGAAAAACGAGATAGCGGAAGACATAAACAGACGGAAGAACATACCATGTTCTTGGATTGGTAGAATTAACATCATTAAAATGTCCATACTACCCAAAGCAATCTATAAATTCAACACACTTCCCATTAAAATACCAATGGCATATTTCACAGACCTAGAACGAACTCTCCAAAAATTCATTTGGAATAATAAAAGAGCCCGAATAGCTGCAGCGATCCTGAGAAAGAACAAAGTAGGTGGGATCTCAATACCAGATATCAAGCTGTATTACAAAGCCACTGTTCTCAAAACTGCCTGGTACTGGCACAAGAACAGACATATAGATCAATGGAATAGAATAGAGAGCCCAGAAATCGACCCAAACCAATATGCTCAATTAATATTTGACAAAGGAGACAAGAACTTACAATGGAGTCAAGATAGTCTCTTTAATAAATGGTGTTGGGAAAATTGGACAGATACATGCAAGAAAATGAAACTAGACCACCAACTTACACCATACACAAAAATAAAGTCAAAATGGATAAAGGACTTAAATGTACGATGGGAAATGATAAAAATACTAGAAGAATCCAAAGGCAACAAAATCTCAGACATATGCCGAAGCAATTTCTTCACCGATACAGCTCCTAGGGCATTGGAAACTAAAGAGAAAATAAACAAATGGGACTACATCAAAACAAAAAGCTTCTGCACAGCAAAAGAAACCATCAACAAAACAACAAGAAAACCCACTGCGTGGGAAAACATATTTGCCAATGTTATCACCGATAAGGGTTTAATCTCCAACATTTATAGGGAACTCATACAACTTAACAAAAGGAAGATAAACAATCCAATCAAAAAATGGGCAAAGGACCTAAATAGACACCTTTCAAAAGAGGACATTCAGAAAGCCAAGAGACATATGAAAACATGCTCAAAGTCACTAATCATCCGAGAAATGCAAATCAAAACGACAATGAGGTACCATCTCACACCTGTCAGACTGGCTATCATCAACAAATCAACAAACAAGTGCTGGAGAGGATGTGGAGAAAAAGGAACACTCGTGCACTGCTGGTGGGAATGCAGACTGGTGCAGCCACTATGGAAGACAGTATGGAGTTTCCTCAAAAAACTAAAAATGGAACTCCCATTTGACCCCGTGATCCCACTTCTAGGAATATATCCCAAGAAACCAGAAACACCAATCAGAAAGGATATATGCACCCATATGTTCATAGCAGCACAATTCACCATAGCTAAGATCTGGAAACAGCCTAAGTGCCCATCAGTAGATGAATGGATTAGAAAACTGTGGTAAATCCACACGATGGAATACTATGCTGCTGTAAAAAAGAAGGAATTCTTACCATTTGCAACAGCATGGATAGAACTGGAGAGCATTATGCTAAGTGAAATAAGCCAGTCAATGAAGGAAAAATACCACATGATCTCACTCATTTATGGATAATAAAGACCATTATAAACTTATGAACAAAAATAGATACAGAGGCAGAGCAGCCTCGAACAGACTGTCAAACTACAGCGGGAAGGCCAGGGAGGGTTGGGGGGCAGGAGGGGAGGGTAAGAGATCAACTAAAGGACTTGTATACATGCATATAAGCATAACCAATGGCATAAGACACTTGGGGGTAAGGGAGGCCAGGGGATTGTCAAGGGCGGGGAAAAAAAGGAGACATATGTAAATACTCTTTGTAATACTTTAAGCAATAAAACAATAAATAATAATAATAATAATAATAATAATAATAATAAAATAAAACCGAGGTCACCCTGCTTCAAGGTCTACACTCCAGCCCACCTCCAGATAAACACTATGCCAATTTCTATCTACTGGTAATTTTAAGAGTTGTCCAGCCAAAACCAGTTTGGCTCAGTGGATAGAGCGTCGGCTTTCGGACTGAAAGGTCCCAGGTTTGATTCCGGTCAAGGGCATGTACCTGGGTTGCGGGCACATCCCCAGTGGGAGATGTGCAGGAGGCAGCTGATTGATGTTTCTCTCTCATCGATGTTTCTAACTCTCTATCTCTCTCCCTTCCTCTCTGTAAAAAATCAATAAAATATATTTAAAAAAAAAAAAGAGTTGTCCAGATGACTCTAAAGGGCGGACCCCGGTGTGTATCAGAATCACCCATCCGGAGGCCTCATGAAAATAGCTGAGCCTCACCCCTAGGCTTTCTAATTCAGTAACTGGGGTGGAGCCCAAAAATTTACATTTCTAACAAGTTTCCCAGGTGCTGCTGGTGCTGCTTGTCCGTCTTCTTCACTCTGTATCTTAAATAATGCCTTTGTATCTTAAATAATGTTTTTAAAAATATATTTTTATTGATTTCAGAGAGGAAGGGAGAGGGAGAGAGAGATAGAAACATCAATAATGAGAAAGAATCATTGATTGGCTGCCTCCTGCACGCCCCACACTGGGGATCGAGCTTGCAAACCCAGGCATGTGCCCTGACCGGGAAATCAACCCGTGATCTCCTGGTTCAAAGGTTGATGCTCAACCACTGAGCCATGCTGGCCAGGCTTAAATAATGTTGGTTTTTTTTTTAAATATATTTTATGGATTTTTTACAGAGAGGAAGGGAGAGGGATAGAGAGTTAGAAACATCGATGAGAGAGAAACATCGGTCAGCTGCCTCCTGCATACCCCCCACTGGGGATGTGCCCGCAACCAAGGTACATACCCTTTACTGGAATCGAAACTGGGACCCTTGAGTCCGCAGGCTGACGCTCTATCCACTGAGCCAAACTGGTTAGGGCTTAAATAATTTTTTTAAGGACAGAACTAACTCAGTAGGCAATCAGTATCTGTGTGATTTCTTGTGCAGCTAGCCATAGTCATAGAAAAAAGACAGGTGCCTGATAGAACTGGAATTTTCTTAGCTGCTTTTGGACACCATCCAAACCCAGCCTGGCACCCTTGGACACACAGGAAAATGTTATTTTCACCATTTCCTGTCAAATGTCCAGCTCGCTCCATTGGTAAATGATGAAGGTCAGGGTGAATCCTGGTTCCTGGCCCTCTCTGCATGGTTAACTTTCCAGCTCAATTTCCCTCCCAGCAGAGAGTCTGGGAATTGGAGCCCCTATGAGCTATAGACAAGGAAAATTCTTCCTAGTTGGAAGGCACTGTAATCTAATCTTAGAGTGATATTCCATCACTTTTACCATATTCTATTCATTAGTATCAAGTCACACTCAAGAGGAGGGGATTAGCCCTAGCCAGGTAGCTCAGTTAAGTACAGCATTGTCCTGATACACCAAGGTTACAGGTTCAATCTCCCGTTAGGGCACATACCAGAAGCAACCAACGACTGCATAAATAAGTGGAACAAATCTCTCGCTCTCAAATCAATAAATACACTTAAAAAAAAAAAAAAAAAAGAAAGGAGGGATCCAGCCACCGTGGCTCAGTGGTTGAGCATCGACCTATGAACCAGGAGGTCCCGGTTCAATTCCCAGTCAGAGCACATGTCCAGGTTGTGGGCTCAGTCCCCAGTGTGGGGCATGCGGGGGGCAGATGGTCAGTGACTCTCTCTCTTCGATGGACTCTCTCTCTTCGATGTTTCTCTCTCTCCCTCTCTGAAATCAATAAAAATACATTTTTTTAAAAAAAGAGAGAGGAGGGGATTAGAAAAGAATGTGACTACCAAGAGGCAAAGATCATTGGGAATTAATGTAGAAGCTGCCTAGCATGCCACATTTTGCACCCAGAGCTAAGAACTGCAAAATCCACCCTATATAATAAAAGCCTAATATGTTAAGTGTTGGGTCGTCCATTCAACCAATCAAAGCATAATATGCTAATGATATGCTAAGGTCACTCAACTGCTCACTATGATATGCACTGACCACTAGGGGGCAGACGCTCCAACTGGTAGGTTAACTTGCTGCTGGGGTCTGGCCGATCAGGACTGAGCGAGAAGGGCCAGACATGCCCTGGAGCCCTCCCGCAGTCCCTCTCCAGCTGGCCAACCTCCTGTGTCCCTCCCTGGCCCCAATCATGCACCAGTGGGGTCCCTCGGCCTGGCCTGCACCCTCTCACAATCCAGGATACCTTGGGAGATGTCAGAGAGCCAGTTTTGGCCCCATCCCGCAGGCATAAAAGGCTAATATGCAAATCGACCGAACAGTGAAATGACCAGTCGCTATGATGTGCACTGACCACCAGGGGGCTGATGCTCAATGCAGGAGCTGCCCCCTGGTGGTCAGTACACTCCCACAGGGGGAGCGCTGCTCAGCCAGAAGCTGGGCTCACAGCTGGCAAGTGCAGCAGCAGTAGCAGGAACCTCTCACGCCTCCGTGGCAGTGCTAAGGATGCCCAAGTGCCGACATAGGCCCGCTGGACTAAGCCATCAGTTGGACATTCCTTGAGGGCTCCCAGACTGCAAGAGGGTGCAGGCCGGGCTGAGGGGCCCCCTCACCAAGTGCACAAATTTTGTGCATCAGGCCTCTAGTTTTATAATAAAAGCAACTACTGTTATTAAGTCTTTAAGTGCCAGAGGTTTACATATATTGTTGCATACAGTTCTTACAACAACCCTATGAATTAAGTACAATTAGCATTATCCCATTTTTCTATTAGAAAATAGGCACAAAGAAGTTACGTAACTTTTCCAAGTCACCCAGCTAGTAAATGCCAGAGCCAGGAACACTGACTAATATTTGCACAGGACTTGAGAATTACAAACCAGTTTCTTTTATCCTCCCAACGCTGTGCGTTAGAGATCCTGTTACCTTTCTACCCATAAGAAAACTAAACCTTGGAAATAAAAATGACAGATTATTTTGTGAGTATTTGCCACATTCTAGCCATCTTTTTAGTGATTTACATTCATTGCCTGACTTTACACTACTGCTAAACTACCAGGCGCTACTATTTAGAGATTTAGGATAAAAAATTATTTAAACAATCCAGTGCTCCTGTAGGGATGGTTTCTTTAGCATCTTCTTTAGATTAGGCGCATCTCACCCAAACTCTTTTGCATCAAGAGTTAAGAGCTTGGGATTTGGCATCAGATAATGTATTGCTTGGCCAAATAATATTAGGCTGAGGCCTTTTCTCTGACCTCAGCTGAGTTCAATCACTGGCCAGCTTTTCCAATAATAATCAGCAAATTAGAAGATTTTCACTTGGGAGAACTTCTCAACCTAGGTTTTCATTTGCTTAATTAGGGACTCAGCATATGGAAGATTTAAAAGGGGGAAGGGAGGCAGGAGAAAAAAAACACGCAATTATTTTAAATGGATCTAAAAAGAAAGAGAACTCAATTTTTTCACTTTTTCTAGATTTTAAAAAAAGCCCTAGTGGCAGCACCCTATGGTTAAATTAAATAAGCTTGACATTAAATTGCCAACTCCAGCCCTAACCAGTTTGGCTCAGTGGACAGAGCGTCGGCCTGCGGACTGGAGGGTCCCGGGTTGGATTCCGGTCAGGAGCATGTGCCTGGGTTGCGGGCACATCCCCAGTGGGGGGCGTGCAGGAGGCAGCCGACTGATGCTTCTCTCTCATCGATGTTTCTAGCTCTCTATCCTTCTTCCTTCCTCTCTGTAAAAAATCAATAAAATATATATTTTAAAAAAAATTGCCAACTCCAATAATCATTCTTTTTGCTAATATCTTTGGTGGCCATTAAGTGATTGTCCATTTGGTAGTTTTTTTCTGAGCATCTTTATTGAGATTTCATGCCACATATATGTATGTATATATATATTTGTTAAAACATATTTCTTTATTGATTTCGGAGAGAGAAATAAACATCAATGATGAGAGTATCATTGATTGGCTGCCTCCTGCACGCCCCCTACTGGGGATTGAGCCTACAACTCAGGCATGTGCCCTTGGCTGGAATCGAACCTGGGACCCTTCAGTCAGCAGGCTAATGCTCTATCCACTGAGCCAAGTTGGCTAGGGCCATGTCAGATATTTTTCATACGGAATTTTTGCAGCCATCCAGTGAGATTTTTTATGAGTTCCATTTTACAGGTAAGAAAACTGAGGCAAGGAAAAATTACATGATTTTCCAAGGTCACACAGTTGGGAAGTGATTGTTCCTCAGGATGGGATGCCAAATATACCTTAGGCCATAAACAGGTGAGGCAAACACTTTTCTTCCTGAAGAGTCATGTTAGTAGTCTCATGAGTAAAAACCAGAGGAGGTCAGCTCTAAGAGGAGTTACTTGAGTGAAATTCTTGTGAGTCACAGAAAGTTACTTTTTATGTTAACACTATAGATATTGCTCATTCCATATTATCAGAGTTTATTGTTGCCCTTGAACATTTTTTTAAAAAACTGTGATAAAAATACACACAATCGCCCTGACCGGTTTGGCTCAGTGGACAGAGCGTCGGCCTGCGGACTGAAAAGGTCCCAGGTTCGATTCCAGTCAAGGGCATGTACCTCGGTTGCGGGACATGCCCAATAGGGGCTGTGCAGGAGGCAGCTGATCGATGTTTCTAACTCTCTATCCCTCTCCCTTCCTCTCTAAAAAATCAATATATTTTAAAAAATACACACAATATAAAATGTTACTATCGCCCTGACTGGTTTGGCTCAGTGGACAGAGTGTCAGCCTGTGGACTGAAGGATCCCGGGTTCAATTCCAGTCAAGGGCATGTACCTCGGTTGCAGGCACATCCCCAGTATAGGGTGTACAGGAGGCAGCTGATCAGTGATTCTCTCATCCATGTTTCTAACTCTCTATCCCTCTCCCTCTGTAAAAAAATCAATTATTTTTTTTTTAAAAAGAGTTACTATTTTAACCTGTATAGTCCAGTGAGTTGTTATGCAACCAATTTCCTGAACTTTCTGGTAAAATTGAAACTCTACCCATTGAAGTCTCCATTTTCTCATTCCATCCCCACTCCTGGGGCAACCACCTATTTTTAACTTCGTTTCTAGGAGTTTGACTACTCTAGGTATCTCATATAAGTGGAATCATACTTTCTTTTGTGACTGGCTGACTTTAAGGATATCTTTAAGACTATCCAAGTCTTAGCACGGAATCATACTTTAGAACATATATATAAAATGTGACAATAACCCCCCTTCCCCACAAAAAAACCTCATGCTATTACTTTCCAGTGGTTCTCAAACTTCCTAATGCCACGACTCTTTAATAGTTCATGTTGTGGTGACCCCCAATTTCATTGTTACAACTTGAACATAATTAAAGCAGTGATTAATCACAAAAACAATGTTTTCCAATGGTCTTAGGCGACCCCCGCAAAGGGGTCACAACCCACAGGTTGAGAATCACTGCTTTACACACACACCCACCCTATAGTTCTGGCTATCTCCAATAATGTTCCCCACCATTGTAAGTTTTGCCTTTTCCAGAATGTCATGGTAATGAGTATGCAAGCATTTGAGACTGGCTTCCTCCCTCAGGATAATGTGTTTGCAATGTATCAAGTTGTCCCATGTAACCAGTTCATTCCTATATACAGATGAAGACAGCCATTACTAATTGAATGTTTAACCCAGGGGTGGGCAAACTTTTTGACTCGAGGGCCACAATGGGTTCTTAAACTGGACCGGAGGGCCGGAACAAAAGCATGGATAGTGTGTGAACTAATATAAATTCAAAGTAAACATTATATAAAAGGGTACGGTCTTTTTTTTTCAATAGTTTTATTCATTTCAAATAGGCGGGATCCGGCCCGCGGGCCGTAGTCTACAGCTGGCTTAACCCATGCCAAGTGCTACACTAAGCATTCTGAGATCTCATTTGATCCTCACAGTACAAGAGTAAGGGAATCTCATACCCACTTTATAGATGAATTTCTATAAATACTAAAAACTTAAATGCCTGCATAAATGTACAGGTGTGGGATTTGCCTCCTATCACTGTGCTTGAAGACTGTAGAGATTTGGTCACTACCCTTGTTCAGTGTTTCTTAATCCCCAGTGACCAAATCCAAGAGCATTTTGATTTAAAAAACTTTTTATTTTCCTTCTCCAGATAGGAAGCCTACAAAATTTATTATGTTTTATCAGGAAAATACAGGGTCAGTCTTCCCCAAGAGGCCTTGTATTTCAAACTCCATGGGTCAGAAACTAGAAAAAAAGAGATTACAATCAGTTAATTCTGAAGTGCTACTTATGTGGGATTTAGGAGTATCTGATTAAAACTCTAGGAATCAGATGGAACAGACGTACAATTACCGACGATTCCTATCTCTTGAGATGACCTGTCTCTTCTGCACCTCAATGAAGTCTATATTGTAACTGTCAAAATGTTCAACCTCAGAGACATGTAATACATGGCAAAAACTGCAGACAGCAAACATTTTATATTTAATGAGTGATCATTGATAAAGGGGGTGTTACTGTTTGAAAATGGGGACAGGAGACAGACATTTTTGTCTTAAAAGACCTAGTAGTACCAATAGGTCAATAGTCTTCTGAGGACTTTATTCTCCACTCTTGTTTTATATGCCCAACTTGAAACTGGGTCCCCAGGTTAGTCCCAAGTGAGCAAACTCAACACTCCTCTACACTGAGCACATTTAATAGTCATTTCATTAGGGGGTTGATACCATTTGCAGAAACCTTACCTGCTACTGGACAGACTGAACCAAGCCAAGGAGAAGATCCAACTATAATCAATCTTTCTGACCAATGGCACACAGGGTTCCTGCCCTGCATGAAGTTAAAAGATGAAACAAATATAAATAACCTGGATATGCAGCGGGGAAAACAAAAAACACTCCATAGAGCCCAATCCCCACTTTAAAAAACCACACCCACATATAGAAAGTAGTCTGGAAAACTGAGCTATAAGTTCTCGGGCCAATGCATCAGACAAAAACTGGCAAGTAGTTTAGTTAGATCAACAGGGTCGATCTGATGGGGAAAAAAGTTATGTCATCAGCTGCAATGGCCATAGTTGAGCCACAAAAAAGAGCAAAGGGGATAGCGGTAGCCATTCAAAAGGAAAGCAGTTACTACCTCCTCCATTCTCCGAATTCAATGTCTATTCAGCCATGTGAGCAGGGCATTTAGGAGAAATGTCACATCACTTCAATCATTTCCCCACGCCTGGATTTATCTGGATCCACTCAAAGTCTGCTTTCTGCCAACAGTAAACCTGGGGAAAAGGATTTATCTGGATCCACTCAAAGTCTGCTTTCTGCCAACAGTAAACCTGGGGAAAAACATGGAACATTAGGGCCACCAACCAACTAAATGCCCAAGGAAGCGGGGGATTAAAGAGCCGCTCAAACTGGCATATCAGATAAAACTGGCTTAGAGAAGCTGTATCACCACGGTCGATCTGCCGGGGAAAAAAGTTCAGTCATCATATATGCCAGTAGCAAGCTCTGGGACTCCACAGAAAGCCCTGAACCAGGAATCAGATTTTGTTGGTTTACTTCTGCACTTAAATTCATGCAATATTTGAGCACGTGTCCCATTTGTTGGAAATAAGAAAACAGCAGCTAAGATAAACATACCTTCTGAACTTATTATTTGATACAGGCCTGTGTGGCTGGTAAGAGCTGGCTTTTGTGCACAGGGTTCTGACAAAGTGTCATGTCAGGATGTTACATTTTAATGCAAGGTGCTATCACTAAAAACCTGGGAACATCAAGGTTTAAGAAAAACATGTTCCGAAGAAGTCCTGCCCTTACGGGCGTCAATCCTGGACTCAAGAGTTAAGCACATGGAAATTGGTGGCCGGTTGATTCCTGGTCAGGGAACATGCTCAGGTTGCAGACTCAATCCTCACTAGGGGGCGTGCAGGAAGCAACCAATCAATGAGTCTCTCATCACTGATGTTTCTATCTCTCTATCCTGCTCCCTTCCTCTGATATCGGTTAAAAAAAAAAAGACAAGAGCAAAAAACAATAGCTGTCCTGTGTGACTGAATCAAAATTACATCTATTTTGTTAAAGTAACAAAAAATATTTTTTGATGTGCCACAAAATTTTAAGAGCTAGCTTATGTGTGCCACCAAGATAAAAAAGCTTGAAAATCGCTGCACTAATGTATAAAGCTGAAAAACTGCCAATCTCAATCCACTGAGATTTTGCTTCCCTGGCATACCTTTGGCTCAAACTCAAATGCTCTAGAGCAGTGGTTCTCAACCTTCCTAATGCAGTTCCTCATGTTGTGGTGACCCCCAACCATAAAATTATTTTCGTTGCTACTTCCTAACTGTAATTTTGCTACTGTTATGAATTGTAATGTAAGTATCTGATATGCAGGATGTATTTTCATTGTTACAAATTGAACATAATTAAAGTATAGTGATTAATTACAAAGACAATATGTAATTATGTGTTTTCCGATGGTCTTAGGCGACCCCTGTGAAAGGGTCTTTCGACCCCCAAAGGAGGGACCGCGACACACAGGTTGAGAACCGCTGCTCTAGAGTTTTGTTACCGCAACTTTAAATCTGTTTCTTCAGCAACACAGGTCTTATAGTTAGATTTTTAGGATTATAATAAAGCATTCAGAGCCCTTTAAAGAATACCTAATACACGCTGAGTACAAATTAGCTTTGGTTAATTCATTTCCCAGTTCCGCTAGCAAAGGAAGCAGCTCCCGAGAGCACGTGGTTCCTCCAGCAGGCCAGGGGACAAATGCTTACCCCAGGGGTCAGGAGGCCAAAGGTTCTCGATGTCTACACGGGGTTCCTTTGGAGACCGCGCAACGACCCTTTCCTTCAAGATCCATTCTGTACCTTTGGATCACGCTAACCTGCGAGACAACAGAGAAAGGGCATCAGTCGCCATCTTCCCACAGTAGAAAAAGAACATGGCCGGGCCTCTTGAGGCCGGTGTATCAGAACCAACTGGCAAATATTCAAAGACATCAACATGGTCGATTAGATGGGGAAAAAAGTAAAGTCATCATTTTCACCAGCCAAGGAATCCTCAGGTCCGTGCGTGGGTCTTTCCAGCTCTAAGTGATCTCACCCACGGCCCTAGGCCTATTAGGATCAGGGCAAGAAGGAGCCACGAGCAGGGGAGATGGAAAGGGAAAGGGAGGAACGGAGATATCGAAGGGAAAAGAGTAGATCTCAACTCACCACACACAGTAATAACCCCGAATTCCCGAGGCGGGATGACATCGGATGAGGAGGACGCATGGGACCAAAGCTGCTGGATAGAAGGCGAGGTGGATGCAAAAGAACGTACCAGGCTGGGAATCTCTCTTATATAACCAGAGGGGGCTTTTTTGCGCCTGCGCACTGGCGCCGATGTGCTTCCGGTTCCCGGCGCAGCATGGGAAATGTAGTCTCCGACTATACCTAATGGTAGTCCAGGCCGCTCTAGCTCCGCCCTCTTCCCCATACACATTGGACCGCCCGGGCTCTTACGCCTCGCCGCCATGTCGCGCTTCAAGCGCATTAAGAAGCCGCTGGGTTCCCCCCTTTTTCGCGGCCGGCTGAGGCTTTCAAAGGCCTGGTGCACTGTTAACCCGCCCCCCGCCGTCTCCTCCCCTCAGCCGCGCTCGGTCCAGGCGCGGCGGGGAGCTGAGGCGACGCCCGCCCGCCCCTGCTGTGCCTGAGGGCGGGGGAGCGGGCAGTGCCAGAGCCGCTCCTCCTCCTCCTTCTCCTGGTCCTCGCGTCAGCCCGCCCGGCCTCCCCCTTCCTCCACCCCGTGTTTGTGAGGAAAGGAAACCGAAAGCGCAGCGCCGGGCGGAGTCGCAGACCTGCCAGGGTCCGAACTCCAGCACCAGACCGCGGCGGCGAGAGGACGCGCTGTAGCGGGTGAGTGACCCCTGACCCGCGATCCGCGGCGCCCGCCTGGGCCACCCCGCCGCCGCCTCAGACCCTGGCGCCCCCGTTTCCCTTCTCAGCTCCTGTCACTTCCCTGATCCTCCTTCCTCGCCGCCCCTGTCACTTCCATCACCCTCCTCAGCGCCCCCATCTTCCACCTCAGAGTCCCTGTCCCTTCTCCTCAGCTTCCCCGTCACCTCCATCCCCCGCCTCAGCCCCACGTTGGCCCCCAGTCACCTCCTCTGCCCCCAGCGCCTCCATTAACCACCCAGTGCCCTCTGTCACCGCCTCCCACCCCCATCTCTGCCTACCACCCCCTTCATCTTCCTCAGGCATCACCATGTCTGCCCCCCATCCTCCACCAAGCACCCTCCACATCTGTACACCCCACCCTTGTTTCCAGGTCCCCCAGCACTTCAGCAGGCACCCCCAACTGAGCTCAGCCCCCTTCTTCCTGAGGCCCCATACTCGCCCACCTCGCCTGCCACTCCCTGCTTCAGCCCTGCCATGGCACCTTCCTCAGCCACTACACAACCCTGGCTCTCCCTGACCCCATAGTCCCACCAGGACGAGGTGGGCCCCGGTGGCCCTGGAGACACCACCACTACCACCACCACCCCCACCACCCTCAAGCCCCGCTCTGGCCCCTTGTTTCAGCCTCTTTCACCCGCCCTGGCGATGACCCTTCTATCAGTTGGTCCCTGTACCAGCTTGGCCATCACTGAGTTCCTTCTTCCTGCCCTTGAGGCCTGGACTCCCAAAGAAACCCACTGTGGTCTGCCTTTCTCCTAGCATTTCCTGTTTCTGTCTGCTCCTCTCTCTCCTTGCCTTTCTTTTTTCCTCTTTTCTTTCATTTCTTTTATCCCAGAAAATTTCTGAGTTTCTATTTTAGTTTTTCTTTTTCCAACAAGAGGAAGAAAGCATTGTCCCCTCAGACAACTTTTTTAAAATGGAAAGTAAACTCTAAATATTGAACCTGCGTCACGAGAGCCAGGTTTGATGGGATGAAGCAGGAGATCACCAAAACTATTGCCAGCAGTTAGGAAAGGGACTCCTTTTGTTGCTGAGGATAAAAGCGACTCCTCGTAGAATAATGCCAAACCGATCCACAGTTTTCAACCATGAATGTTTAAAAACTCAGGAAGAAAAAGACCGGCTCCAAAATCCCCTTGCTGAGAACTCTGAGCCACCAACTTTTTCCCTGGCCCCACCCCGCAGGATGTGCGCGATTGTGCTGAGAAGTTGCCTTAAACGGGCTTCCTCTTCCTCTTATAGGACCACTCTTAAAAATTATCGCGGTAGTAGAGGAGGAGAAAAGTCCTGCAGATTTTTCTAGCTGGTGGAGGAAACATTCCACAGATGGAAACTTATCTTTTTCTTTCTTTTGATCCAGTTTGGCTGCATTCCAAAGAGTAGGGTAAGGGTTTACTGCTCTGTACTTATTTACAAACTGTAGAGAACTGTAAGCTATAGAATGTTGCTATGTAACATAAATGCTGAATAGTGTGAGACATGCGTGGTTTTTGGATTAACAAAAATACACTTCTGTCTGTCCTGGCAACAAGTATTTATCTGCGTTATAGAAGAGGAAATTGAAACCTAGCAACTGATTAAGTAATTGGGCCAAAGGCATAAACCAAACAGTAGTTTTGAATGGGAATTAACGACACTTCCTCTCCCTTAGAAAAGTACAGGGATAAAGAGAAGGGGTGGGGGTAATTTGAGCCTTTGAAATCATCTAAATTGTGAATTTAATGTTTTCATATCATAACTGGGTGTTTACAGAGTTGAACACTGTGTCCATGATTAAACTCTGTGTTTAGCCCGAGCTGGTTTGGCTCATGTATAGAACGTCGCCCCAAGGACTGAAAGGTCCCGGGTTCAATTCCCATCTGGAAGGCAACCTATAGATGTGTTTCTCTCTTTGTCTCTCCCCCTCCCTTCCACTCTCTCTAAAAACCAATGGAAAAATATCCTCAGGAGAGGATTAACAACAACAAACATAATGTGTTTAACTCTTAGTTAACAAATCATTACAATGTAGAGACAGAAGGATTGGTTTAATGCTGTTCTGGGTTTTTCTGCTAGATGCTGTGTTTCAAGGGCACTAATTTCTCTTAACCTGTACAGATTTCCAGGTAACTTAAAGGAACGTGGATGCGGAGGAATTCTAGTGATTCAGTCATGGAGGACAGAAGACCTTGTCCGGATGTCAGGCCCAGGAATCCCCATACCAACCACAGAGGTGAGCAACGTTTTCTAATTAATGGGAAGGAAACTTGAGTTCTCTATGAATGAGCAGCAGGCCCACCTAAGATTGATTGTATCTCTCAAGTAAAGAATGGCTTATTTCTTAGCTACAGTATGATTGACTCTGAAAAACAAAATAGCCTTCCCCTTTCCGTAAGAGAGCTAATGAATGGGTGCACTTCAAAGATAGTGGTGAGTGTCAGAAACGGGAATAACACTGGTTTAGAGCAGCACTGTCCAGTAGAAACATAATAGAAGCCAAAAATGTAATTTAAAAATTTTCAATCTCTCCCTCTCCCCTCCTCTCTGAAATCAATAAAAATATATTTTAAAAGAAAAACGGGAAATCCATTTTTAAAATTTAATACTAATTTAATAAAATTTAGTGATTTAGTACTTGTCTTATTTAAGCCAATATATTCAAATATCATTTTAGAATAATTGAATATATTTTTATTATCATGGTACTTTAATAATTTTAATGTTTTTATTTACCTCCCATATATTCAAGTATTATCATTTTAAGGTTTTATCAATATAAAAAATTTTAATGACATATTTAACTCTTTTTGGTATTAAGTCTTCAAAATCCCATTTATTATTTTACACATCTTAATTCAGACTAGCCACATTTAAGATGCATAATAGCCATACATAGCTAGTGATTATGAATTTGATAGCATGTGTCTGGAGTCTTAGCCACCAAAGCGAAGTTAGTTCCAAAAGCATTACTCTACCTCAATGGTGGTTCTGTTTGCTCAGAACTTTCTAAAACAAAACAACCAAATGAATTTTGCTTTTCGCTAAACTTGTAATATGTCATCTGAGTTTAGCTGTGGAACAAATGAGGAAGAACTATAGAATTTTATTTTATGAGCTGTATGAATATTGAAATAATGAAAAACGGTACAATTTTCTGTTCTAGTTTTCTAATCAGATCAAAATATTAAAAGTGGGACTTTCTTCTGATATCCTGGAAGTTTGAAATCATAATTATAAAAATTTAGAGTTTAGTAGTATACAGTATTTATATTTTACCAAATATTCTTTTGTTTCACATTAAAATTTTCTCTAAAAAGTGCAAAATAAGAAAAAGTGCATAAATGGATGTTGCATCTGATGTCATTAAGTGGAACTATCATTTTGAATATAATGTGCATTTGAAATTTTTATAGTATTTTTTATCATCAAATTATTGTATACAGTCTTATTTTTTGTTTGTTTTTAAAATCTCCAAGTCATTCTGCTAAGTTGGATCAACTCCAGAATCAGTTTTAGAGAAAAGGAAAGTGAAAAAAACTAGACATGGGTATGTGGGCCAAGGTCACTTATGAAATGTGTGGCAGATCAAGGGAGACAAGTTAAGCTTCATCCACTGGGTGATGTTAGCTTTCCCACGTATACTGGGTGTGTCACCTCCCTCCCCGCTCTCTCTTTTCTGAGAGTTGGTAATAGGTAAATACTTTGTAAATGAACTTGTGCTGGAGAAAGGAGGAAAACTTGAGTTTCATGTTTTAGTTTCCTTTACTGTCTATTAGTTAGCTCAAAAACATCTTAGTAAGGAAAGTCCCATCTTCCTCTTTTCTGTCTGATGCTGGGCAAAGTTTAAGAAACATTTCCTTTTATAACTTTATCTCCTTTGATGCCTGTGTTGCCTATAGTATAATTATTTCATGGCAGAACCAATGGCTCTAAAAACCAATAGAGTAGGCCAACTGAAAATTATTACTAGTGTTACTAGTTATAATTAACATTAATAAGAGCTTTTTATATAACAGGTACTACACTATACTAAGCATCTTGAACATTTAATCTTTACAACAACCCAGATACTGAAGCTTAGAGAAATTATGCAACTTGGTAATATAGTGAGGAAGTACCCAGGTAAAGATTTGAACCAGGTCCATTTGGCTCTGAAACTCATGTGCTGACTATTGTTTGGTACTGGCAAGAAACTAGAAACAATGAGCTGATCTTTTTGATGCTCTGAAATAATCCCAATTTGTAAAGATTAAATTATATACTGCATACATTTATTTTCTAGCATGTATTAGGCATTCAACAAATGTTTATTCCTTTTCCCTTTTGCACCCTGTGGAAAAAAAAATATTTTTATAATATATACAGCAACATAATAACTGTTTTTACATTCAGCACATGACTTATTTCTCTCCAAATAAAACCAAAACTCCTTGGATGTTTGGGAAAATAA